CTTGGTCACTTAGTATCCCTTAAGAAAGTACAAAACAGTGTGATGGATAGATATCTTCCAATTCTCTGTGTCTGTCTGTGTGTGTGTGTGTGATTGTGTCTGTGTAAACTTCTGACAGATTACATCAGGCTTCATTGAATTTTCAGTTGCAGGGATGTTGTTTTGTATTTTACAGGGTGAAGTTACTACCTTCCTAACCTCCCCATCACAACCACCATCACCACTACCGCCACCAACCTCCCCTCTTTCCGGGACTGGGGGATTCGAACCCGAACCGCCATCTTATCACTGAAACACCAACGCTCACTAAACACACACATGGTCCGGTTTCGAATTTCTTTTTACGAACTCTTAAAACTCACACATTTTATTAGCCCTTATTAAGCCTATAATAGGGGGAGGGGAAGGTTGGCAGTTTAAGGTTAACAACTTTCATCCCGTGAAGAACAGCACCTCACCACCATTGAAACTCGAATGTTCGAAGTTTGAAGTTCAGACGCAAAAGAATGAAAGAAAGACTGATAAAATCACACTTGCGGAATATCTTGAAGAACAACACTGAAGTGATTATTTTAAATTTCCCGTCGACTAATTTCGCATCACTCAGCTGTTCGACCTCTGAAGACATTTTTTTATTAATAGTTCCATGGCTGATTGTGAAATCCATGATGTGAGTTTCGTCCTGTTGGTGACTCATCCGCTGGTTGCACTTAATAAGACTCAAACCGAGCAACTGTAGAATTAAGTGCCAAATCATTATCCATTAGGCCATTGATTTATAGAATGTTTGATAACTACTCACGGTCGCCTTGAGATTATCTTTTGAAGTTTAAGTTTATAAGTAAATTGTAATCTCATGTGTAAAGGTGAACACTCTTCTGTTTGTCTACAGGGATTTTAATCAAGAAACAAATTCACCATTTATCGAGAGAGAGAGAGAAAACGAAAATCACAGAGTCCTCTCCAGCATGACCTAGTCAAAGACATTTTTTGCCAACATTCGTCTAATAATTGTCACCAGTGAGACCGAATATATCGAGTTTGGAGTAGATGTTCATTGATAGCCTCTGGATTCTAACTGATCGACTGACTGACTGACTCTCAGCTGACTCAGTAGGGGGGATGGTATTAACATGCTGACTTCATAACCTGAGGGTTCCAGTTTTCATCCCTAATTGGATCATTGGCGTATATAGTCACTGCATAGTCACACACTAGGGTGATGGACCTATACAGCGACCCCCTGATTCTCAACGGTTCTCTATGCGATGATTGTTCCTAACAACAGGTACCTTGAAATGTCAAAAGAGATTTATTCTACAGGATTTCATCATGAGTTGACACCGGTTAGAGAACTGTTAGAAAACCATCTAGGAGTAGTGGACAGCCAGCTGTTTCGTCAGCCTAGTTTGGGACTCTTCATCAGTATGAATAAACTGGGGTCAAAACCAAGACCTTCCGGTTACAAGGCGAGCTCATAGACCATTCCGTCGCTTGGGTGGTTATCTAATGGCCCATGGATTCCAACTTCTGCCAGTTTCAAATATTTAGCATGACCACTAGCCAACGTCATCGCTGGTAGGTATTTGTCCTCACACGCAACCAGATGAACCTCACTAGCTAAAACTTTGTATTCACTGAGGAATAAAGATTTTTGATAAGTGGAATTCCTTTATACATACTGAACAGCCTTTTGATGACATTAAGCATATATTTGACTTCAATCCTTATTTAAAATTACATCTACCTGCTCCTGATGAGTTCTAAGAAGTGCGAAACTCTTTCATAAGTTGGTGAATACTACTGCTCTAGTGATATGAGTAATCGGAAATCAGTCATGACAACCGTCAATAGTGCTTGCCAGTCAGTCAGATCACTGGGGGGGGGAGGGTGGTGACCTAAGTACACTACTCGGTCAGTGAGCATATACTGACCGACTGCAACTCATAGAATACTAATACCCACTTAAGTGGACAGCTGGTAATACTCAGGTACCTTCGGTCCAACAAAGCAAGCAATACTGTCTAACATGAATAGTTTCTAACTACTTATTTTATTAGTGAGTAGTACATATCATCTTACAGTATCAGTTACTTTCCTAATAGCATTTATAATGCTAAATAGATTATAGACGATTGGAGGCAATCGACAGGAATCGTTGAGTAACTGTGGTTTCGCGCCTGCTGTTACTCATCAGCAAGATATGCCAGCAATCTTAAAAGAATCCAATGCCTACCTCCCTTTGAAATTCCAATCCACTTCATTAAGTCCTGTGGTCATAGATGTCACCAATAAGTTATTTGGCCTGGTGACTCACCTCCAACCAATTTTATATCAGTGTGCACCCCCTGGTGGTGAGTCGCCAAACATGGTGACCACACTGCGAACCTAAGAATGACAGAATTCAGTCTACACCAATCCAAGGACTAGATGCCTGACACTGGTTACTTACTATCTAGTGACCAATCAGATTATCACGTGGATTATACATTCCAAAATCAATATTCTGCCTTAAATTGCATATTTTGATAAAAAGATGTTGGGGTGGGGGTGGGAGTGGAAAGTGGGGTAACCAGCATACTAAAAACTAAACAAGATGGCCGCCATCTTTCTTTTCCAGTGATCAGTCATTGTCTCCGCTACAGTCCCAGAGGAGGCGAGTGTCATTTGGAAAATTTTTAATTATAACATTTCTGAGTGATACAGGTTCCAGGTTTCTCTGAGGGGAAGTTCCTTCCCTTGCTATAAGGTTGCACATACGTCCAACGTTTATGTCCAGACACAGTTTCTGTACAGTGACAAGAAAGTGAAGCATAAATAAATCTGGCTTATATTATTAGTTGGGTAACGAATTGCTGGAATCCTCCTCCTATGATGCAGAATTCCATTCCATCTCCAGTCATTATCGATAACAATCTGACAATCTAAAGGTTGTTCAGGATAGACTCAACGCCATTTTATCGATCTGCTATCTCTAACCACTGATAAACCAGGGAGTACTGGACACAATTGATTCTTCCTAGTTTTCGGGATTATTATTATTATTGTTCCCTTGAGTTCCTAGTGGAACAAAGGGTTTCAACTACACGTCTCTACTTGCTTCTGTCTTCTGCTGTACTTTTCACCTGCATCCATGTTAATCCATACTGTTTCAGCTCCTCTCCACACGATCTCCTCCATGTCACCCTTGCACTGACGTCCCACTCGCCACTTCCCTTTCGGGTTCCACTCGAGCTATGGCCTGACGCGCGATGTCACCCAGCGGCCTCCTCAGCTCACCGAGTGTCCAATTCATCTCCACTTCTTTCTCCTGCATATTTTTTGAGCGATTGGTTCTTGTTTTGTTTGTTCCCATAGTTTCTTGTTGGTGAGCCCAAATAGCTCGGTGGTAACGTCTCTGACTGCAGCATTGGTTGACACGCTGGTTCCAATCTCAGAAGGGACATGAGTTCCTCCAAGTCTGCAGATACGCCACCTTGCTGACTGGTGAGTGCCAACTAGCACGAAACCTAGGTCCTGTCAAGGCTTCCTATGGCCGATTGCCTCCAACTATCTAATATCATCAAATCAATGTGCACCGTGATGGCGAGTCACCTAGTAGTGGCATGGTGGCCACATTGCAAACCTGACAGCAAACCAGTTTTCGGGATACTTACCCATAACTCTACTGGAGGCTGAATCTTGAACTTTTAGGTTTCGAGACAAACACCCATTCACTATTCAGTCACTGGGACAGACAGACAGACAGAAGCCAACGGTTCACTGATTCTAACGCCTACCAGTTCACGAGTGACAACTGATGTTCACACACTCAACTTGGTGAACCTCAGTCAGTCACTAGTGATTAACTTTCAAGAGTGAGTTTGTAGGGATGTGATCGATTGATTTTTAAAAATGATTTCAATACTCATTTCCCGTTCAATATGAATTGAAGTACATTAACTATCTATCTAACATAAGAATATACTTGATTCATTCTCTTTCGTTGTCTGACACACACATACACACACACACATGCACGCACTCATACACGCGGACACAAATACTGATACATATCAGAACCGAAATGATTGTATAATTGTCTTCGTCTATTCGATTACATCATACTGTTGTCTATTGTTCATTCACTTTCAATACAGATCAGTGTCAATCGTCTTATTCATTGCGCTGTATACTACTTCCCTTTCCTGTTTCGATTGTCTACAGTAATAGTGATGCACAGACACATACACACACGCACACTCACACACAAACACGAGACTCACACATAGACACTGATTGCTTGAATGGGGGATTTCTGAATTTCTAGGGAAATGATCACAATTCAGTTTTTGGTTGTTGTTTTTCTTCTTCTATTTACCCCTGCCTAACTTGCCTTACTTTCATCCCTTTTGTTTGCTTGTTTGTATGCCTTATAAAGTGTTTCATCAGTCAGATATATTGATGATACAACGATAGTAACAAAGGCCAGTAGTAACCGTGACGGTTATATGATCGTGAGATCATTATGCATAAAAATGGAGAAGAGAAATCGAAGATGTTCTTTCTTTCGCTAACTTTCGAACGGAATTGTCTCGATTTTTCTACTGATGAATTCTCCCTGTCACACACTGTGTACATGTTTATAGCTCTATCTAAATTAACCAATCACATTTCTGGTAATCTCTACACACTAACCCACCTACATACAAACACACATGCATACACTATTATGATAGGCTGACAGGCCTTCGATAGATAGAATGAATGTGTTTACATGTGGGGGAGAATATGCATACGAACGCACGTGTCGATTAACATATTCCGTATCAATAGTCCCTACAAGAAAAGATTGTATGTGCACCTATGTGTATCCATTGTTTTATACCCTAGTTGTGTATGTGTGTCCTCTAGTACTGCTATTATTATTATTATTCTATCCTATCCTTACAATTCATTATTGTGATACGAGTTAACTGAAAAAAAACGTTGATTGGTTAACGCTACCAATACAATAGAATTAACCAATCGCGTGGCAGACAATCTGAAATTGTCAGAACTGATCTCAACAATAACAATAATAATAATGGTAATGAAACTGTTCACGACTCTGCTAATCATTATTATAATTATGCTGTCATCTTGAACAACACAACTACGACTAGTACTGCTGCTTCAAAATAATCTGTGGAATATTTTTGTCCTTCTTCTCCTTATTATTATTATTGTTATTATTAAATCACTGAACTAAATTTCCCGCCAAAAATCAAAATTTAAGCAGTAAAACAAATCATTATGGCTACACATGATACACTGCTAACTAATGCAAACAATATCAATATTACTGATCCACATTCAATGCTCAATACTTCTTCAATCAGTCAAACAATTGAACAACATCAAATGAATGATAAATTGAATAATGAAACTCTGAATCTAATTATGAATGGTACATGTTCAGTAGCTGCTGCTGCAGCTGTAGCAGCAGCGGCAGCCGCGGCGGCGTCGACTGTTACATCTTCAGAGTCATCGGCGGCATCATCATTATCGTCATCATCAGTGGATGAATTTCGTCAGCATATGAATCGTATATCGTTAAATCAATTCATGACTACTACAGATGCATTTACAACAGACAGTATGATTCCATTTAATTATAGTAACAAGAGGAATAATAGTAATAATAATAATAATACGAGTAATTCATGGTTTATGAAGTCATTGGATGATGCATATGATACTACTAATAACAATACTACTCACAACAATACAAGTAGTAGTCTTCTGAATGCCAATCAAATGGATATATTAGACAATGAATCTGTACATAATATTACTGATAATACTATGCTAAGTAATGCATTTCTTTACTCATCATCAAATCACTTTATAAACAGTCATATGAACAGATATACGTCAGATAGGACTACAGATATGGAAGGGAATGATCTCAACAACAGTATTAATAATAATAATCATAACAATAGTAATAATAATGACAGTCGTAAAAACTTTATTTGTAACGTCGATGAAACAGAAGCTGACGAAGGAGAAGACGAAGACGGCGACGAGGAGGGGGAGCAGGGGGAAGGAGTGAGGACGGCGGTTCCAATGACTGTGGAAGAATTTCAACAAGGCAGAGAAGAACAAGAAGAGGACAGGAGACAAATGATGAGTTTACAGACTAACAGGAATGTATGTTTAACACAGAAGAAGCGAAGATATTCATCCAACGATGATGATAATGATAATAATAATGGATCTATATCACCAAAGATCGATAATCCACCACCACACCTTTCGGCATCTTCATTATCTCAGCAACATCATTCTGTCTACAGTCAATTCTCACGTCATCACCAGCATTCAATGATGATGCTTCATGCTGAATCACAGAATGATGTAAAAATTAAAGCAGAGGGAGATTATGCTGATGACAATGATGAAGGTGACGGCGATGAAGTCGATGACCATGATGTCAACAGTTGGAAGAATACCAGACTGCCAAAGCTGGAAAATGAAATACGTGATCAAAAAATCGATTTTGAAAGTATAGATAATACAAAAGATATGATAGATAGTTGTAATAATCAAAAATTTGAGAATACTATTACTAGTACTACTAATAATAATAATACTACTAATAATAATGGTAGTAGTAGTAATAGTAATCATAACGCAATGATGTCATTATCTCAATCATGTCAGGAAATCGCCTATTTAAATCAAGTTAGACAAAGAAATGAATATAATGAAAGGGAAGTTGGCAATGCAGAAGGTTTTCAAGAAGACGGAGTCGCTGAGGATGACGATAATGATGATGATGAGGATGCTGATGATGACGGGAATGTTGATGAGGTGGAGGGGGAAGAGGGAGAAGAGGAAGAAGAAGAAGAAGAGATAGACGAAGGAGAAGAGGGTGATGGGGATGATGATGATATAGAGGATCTCGGTGAAGATATTCGACAGCGACAAAGACAACAACAACACCAGCAGCAACAACAACGAGAAATGCTATTAGACAATAATAATAACAACATGAAACATCCACAATCGTCTCATCCTCACCTTCAACAACAACAACAACAACAGCTTATGGAAAGTGATTGTTTAAATCTACTCAAATATAATGGAAGAAATCAAATGTTCAATATACAGAATGATGATATGAATATAGTTAACACTACTAATAATAATAATAATAATAATCGATTATTAATGTCACCAACACATCAACATCTTCAACAACAACATCATCAGCATCAACACCCCCACCATCCCCACACACAACAGCAGCAACCACCACCACCACACCACCAACATCAACAACAACAACACCATAACAGATATAATAACAACAATTTAATGATGTGTCAATCAAACAAAATTATTGATCATATGGAAAATATTATTGATTCTTCACGTGGACATTCCAAATTGTTAGATTCAGTTGGTATGAATTATGGAATTAGAGGAAAAGTAAGTATTACTTTTATCATTATTATTATTATTAGTACTAGTAGTATCGTTACTATAGTTACTATTATTATTGTTTATTTTTCATGTTTCAAGGAGAACATTGCGGGCAGCGGGGGGGGGCTTCAGTAGGATGATATCCACATTCTATGACTGTTTAAAAGCTCTCATCCCCCCCCCGCATACATGATCGATCTTCTCTACTCCACTATGTGAGTCACCTTTGATACACATCCGCACACACACGCCAAACTTGTCACTTCCTATTTTGAGTTCCACTCAAGTATCTGGTGTTGTGTGTGACACATCAAATTTAATGTGTTTCCTAATCTGTGTCTAATCTACCTGAACTTCTTTCTGACTATTTGTTGAGTTTTTTTTTCCTTCACGTTCCCCAGCGGAACATAGGGGGCTTCAAGCTAGTGGCTTGAAGTTTCTGTAGCAGTGGTGCTTATTTTTACAGGATGGGGTTGCTAGCCACCTCATGCCTAACCTTTCCTCTTCACCAGCATTATTTCTGGCTTAGCGAGGTAAAGGAGTGCCTTGTCGGCCGGGGATCGAACTCCGGACCATGTGGATGGTGGGCGAGCGTCCTAACCGCTATGCCACCGATGCACCTCTAACGGATATAGATCAAACACATTCTTGAAAAATACTCTTATTTAATTGAATTTTAGATTGTCCTGTCAATTGATTGGACTGAAGTGCGCGGTCTCAGGTTGACATGTCGGCTTCTCCTTGTGCAGATGCTTCGACGATGTCTGGACATGTTATTAGAAGTTAACTGGTGGATTGTGACTAGCAGTGGAATCCAGGATAACACGGATTTCGTCCTTTTGGGGACTCGTCGGCTGGATGTACCTGCATTCCCCAGTGAGTGATGATATTCCTAAGTAGTCTAGTGGATAACGCTTTGGTGTTAGAAACTATGGGCACTGGGTTCGAGCCTTGGTGGGAACATAATCACTCACTGGAGAATGCAGATACATCCAGTTAGCTGACGAGTCCCAATTAGGACGAAATGGATTCCACTTCTAGTCACCATCCACCAATTCAATTATAAATACTCTTATTATTTCAGTAAAATTAAAAGAATTCATTCTTTATTATGTCTTTTCTCTTCAAATATCATAAACTGACCGACATCATTTAGAGAATTATTGAAACTATAGAGGAATGGGTAGTTATTTTTTCTTTTTTGTCTTCTGATTTTCGAGCTTTCCAAGTATACGAACCAATGAATTAATCATCAGTTGCTGAAGAGTTCTAGACTTGGAGACAATAGTTTGTTCAGTTCTCCTCCTTTGGTATTTTCTGAGATCCTTGTCCTCAGCCAATACACTTCAAGCCCTTGCCTAGCTGGTAGGAAGCGCCTGATAATGACGCAATGGGGATTGGCGTTAAACTAGCAACCCCTCCACCCCCACCCCGTGTTTCACTTGGTTGCAAAGGGATCGGGAAAAAAACACTCTCATAGTCATTGAATGTTTACTTACCAAGGAGATAATAAAATTTTTACCAAGACTTCTATAGATTTCTACAGATTTGGAGTCAGCTGTAAAGTTAAAGTGTGGGCAACTCTTGCCAGTTATTCATTTGAAGAGGAAGTTAACATGAAAATCAAGACTGCGATAGGATTTTTGAACCTAGAGTCCTCCAACTGCTACTACTAATTAGTTCATAAGTCTACGAGATCACTACATTCAGTATGGATCTGTTATGTGACTCGTCATCTGGAGACCATCTGGTTCAATCATCTGGTTTAGAATAGGTTGAAGTTAGAACTTATGCGCTAACAACTAGACTCTTCGCTCAAAGTGCTTGAATGATTGGATAGGGTCGGTCTCATAACCTCAAGGTCTTGGGTTCGATACCTTGTGGTTTCGGTTCATGAATGTGTGTATTCTTGAAGAGCTGTAGACAGGGGAGGGGGACAAAACACGTGCCCACTACTTCCAGTCAAGATCTTGCAAATCAACGGCTGAAAATCAGTCATTATGTCAGTTGAGCAGGGGTTGGGGTGGGGGTGAGGGAGTCAGTCAGTCAGTCCAGGGTCATCCCAAATAGTCTCACCATTAGGGTTATTATTATTATTTATCTCACTCATATTATTAACTGTTATTAGCTTTTTTGAACAAATTCGAACCTAGTACGAGTTATCAGCTATGAGCTTTCAGTGTGTGATTTCTAGCTCAGTTTCTTCATGAAGTAATATGGGTTAGAGAACCCCCCCCTTGAAAACTAGACACTGCTGGATACAGATATTGTTTCAGCCTGTTTCTTGAGATTCTTCTTCGCCTAACTCCACCAGTGATCGGATCTCGGGTCTTTCAAGTTATAACCCAATGACTCAATAGTCGGTTCAGTGGGCTCATCGTGTAATTTTAAAGGTATCAAGTTTAACACCTGAATAGGTCGTAGGGGTGGGTGTACAGTTATTTAAGAGTTACAAAGTAGAATAGTAAACAGTTACCCATCCCTCTCTCTCTCTCCCTCTGCTTTCCAACCTTTCCTGATAAATTTATCCTTAGAATATTTATGTCTATTTATAAGTATGTGTTGCTTATTTACTATTATTGATTGATAATAATAATAATCAGCCCAAGATTGACTTAATCAATTAATTAACGAATCAAATGATAAGCAATTGATTGATCAATATTACTATGGTAACATAACCAAAGTAATAATAATAATTGAATATTCCTCCGGCTTCCCACGCCACCCACCCCACCCCCGCAAACATCATCTATGTTTATCAATGAATACATTTAGTCCTATTAAGAAGTTTTTCAGAGTAATGAATTACTGTGTTGTGTAATGAAGGTAAACGGTAGGAAGCTTTGGACCTGGATTTCACTATAAAAATTTCAAGTTATATCCCCTCCCCCCCCAGCCACCTTTTCACTCCTTTGCATTCCAGTTGTAACGTTGAGTTTTAAACTTGAACCTTGAGGTTTCAGTAGAGACGGTATTAAGGTTGTTATTTTTTATGGTGTGGAACGGCTAACCTCACTTCTCTTAGCCTGCCTGCCTCCCTCCCTAGCCAACTATCTTACTTTACCAGACGTACTACCTGCGAAGTCAGGTAATAGAACCTGGTTCAAGTGAGTGGTTGGGACCAGTGAGCCACCCACATACTTACTGCTTTATCTCTTACCGGTGAAGAAACTCAAAAAGATGGTAAATAACAGTGAATGGTAGTCAGGATACTGCTGTCACAGGGGAACGCCACCACCTGGAGGGCATTCAAGTATATTTTAGCTATGAAATAGAGAAACTAATATCTCTTTCACTCGTATAATATATGATATAAGTGAAGAGGTTTAAAAGAAAGGAAAATATGGGTAGTGACAGGATTGACACTAGTATTCATTGAATTACTAATCTAGCGATCTATTAACTGAGCTATGAGACTCAACTATATTACCTACAAATTGGACTGTTATTTGACTCTAATCAATACGGCTAATACTCAGAAGTCGATTTCATATCAGAAGATTATCTTCTTACCTGGATATTCGCCTGGCTTAAAATCCATCTCAATTTCTGTTCGAGGCATACTTCAATACTCCTCCGTTTCCTTCAGTAATAATAATAATAATAATAATATACTTTATTCCAAAAACAGTACTTGTGATACAGAATGGAATTTTCAGCATTAATCACAATATTGCATCTAATTTCCTCAAATTATAAATAAAATTAATCACACAGAAAAATTTTTCTACATTTACAATAGGGTTAATATTAAAAAAAATAAAAAATAGAAAACATGGAGCATTTAAATGGAAATAATAGTAATGATAGCAGCTAAGGTAATGATAATAATACAAGTGGAAATTGCCGTGGGCTTGTTTCACACAGTACTGTCGATGCGGTATACAAATCCTTGCATGATTAAAAAATATTGAATATGATGCTCTCTTTACATGATATGGTGAGGGAAAAAACAAAGATTACAGCAGTCATAGAGATAAGTTGGTGTTTGCAGTTATGAAAGTAAAAACAAAGAAGCAACAGGACCATAAATATAATAGAAATAATAAAAGTAAAACTTGAAGGTATATAAGGATGGATGGAGGAGATTGTTTATTTAGTAGATGAAAAAAGGTTAGTCAATTCTTGCCTGACGCTATTTTCATCACATAAAATACGTGCCAAGTATGGTATCATAGAATTGTTATACTTAGATGTGCGAGCATACAGTTTTCTGAAGTTACTTCTTGTTCTACCTGAGAAGATGCAAGGTGAAAGCTGAGGGTGAAGTGGATGCTCCAAGTCAGACGAAATCCCTTTAGCAAATTTACTGCACGAAGTCAAGTGCCTATCGACAACGACGTTAACTATGTGGTCCACTGGGACACCACTCATCCTACTGACAGTCTTCAGCATTCTACGAATTGTGACAAAGTCCTTTTTAAGCAAACCAGGAAAGAATAAGGGTGAAAAATAAAGAAGAATAGGTAGGATGCAAGAGTTTATGAACTGTAAGAGGAGGGGTATCCAGAAGAGATTGGAAAGTATTTGGGAATGTGTACGTGATTATACACTGCGATTTCTATATTGGTATTAGGATGATTAAAATACAATATGAATTATGGAGAGAAAATTTAGGTAGCCAGTCGAGTGATTTAAGCAGACCCCCACCATCATCTATTACATCAGTAAGCCATCGTTTCTCAATCCGACATCATCTCAGATTCTCTCACTAACAATTTATTGATCGGGAATTATTTTATCTAAATTAAAAGAATATTCAAGATACTTCTCCACTATCCGCCCACACAACTCACTCACGCATCCAGCCCAGGTTACTAAGTGTTTCTTATCTTCCCCCTCTCCCTCTCTTCTTGATGTTGATGGCTACCAACAGTGGAATCCAGAATCCACACTTCTTCATATCTGGATGCACTTGCACTCCAAGTGAATGATGGCATCCTCGCCAAGACTCGAACCATGAACCCACAGTATTATCCACTAGGGTCACAACAGCGACCAGTTTTGCAAGGGGTATCACAACTAACCTTGTGACCAGTCATTGGAATACAGCAGATCGGGTGGGAGGACAAGTACTAACCAGCGGTGAAACTGGCTAGTGCCAGTTGCACTATATCATCAACTGGAAGAAGTTGGAATTCATGGGCTGACTAAATGCTCTATGAGCTTGCCTTGTAACCGGACGGTCCTGGGTTCGAATCCCTGCGGTGATTGAGTACTAGTGAAGGCTCCCAAACTAGGCTGACTAAAAACAGTTGAATGCACAGTACTCTCAGGCGGTTTTCCAATGGTTCTCTAACCGATGTTAGCTCATGATGAAATCCTGTAACCAATCAAATCCATGCAAACCGACATTTGAATAACCTGTGTTTTTTTCATTTATATTCCCCTATTCGAATATTGGAAAACTTTTCATGAGTATTAATTACATAAGTGATAAAGTTTGAAAAATCTGAGTTCTTCCAGTTTAAAACAGACAGTTAGTATGGTTGGTCTATATTAGCTCGGCAGGTGGTTCAACGGTAGATGCCCGGCAGTTACACATGTGCTCCGGGGTTCAGTTCCTTGCCGACATACTCCTAGACCTCACATAACCGATAGTAAACCCAGAAAAGAGGGAAGGTTGGATGCAGAAACATCGCAAACGCTAGTGAGACTTCAGCGCTTTAAGAAAATGAGGCTTTATGTTCCGTTTGGAACAAATTTGGGATTTAAAAAGACGTAACGGTTGAATTTTAGCATTTTTTTTCAAATTTGAGGTGTGAATATATTCACCATGATCTTTGTTTTGAAAATTTAAAATATATTTAAATGAAAATGTGTGTTCCAGTTGTCACTGTATAAATGGAAACGGTATATACTATTGAGTAACTCTGACTCACATGAACTAAACGACCACACTTAGTGTTAAAATCGTCTCGATCTGACTGTTTTGACAAGCACTATTGTTTGATGTGAGTAATCATCAACTACTCAAAGCAACTTGTAGTATTGATTACTTATTACGTAATGATAAATATTTTTCCGTAAATAAGGATGTTACGTGTTCGTTTTTAAGAGCTCTGTTCTGAGATATATATTGTTGTTGTTCCCTTGGGTTCCTAGTGGAACATAGGGCTTCAACTGCACGTCTCCACTTGCTTCTGTCGTCTGCTGTACTTTTCACCTGGATTCATGTTAATCCATGCTGTTTCAGCTCTTATTCACACGATCTCCTCCATGTCACCCTTGGATGTCCCACTAGCCGCTTCCCTTTCGGGTTCCACTCGAGCATTGGCCTGACGCGTGATGTCTCCCAGTGGCCTCCTCAACGAGTTTCCAATCCATCTCCACTTTCTCCTGCATATTTGTTGAGCGATTGGTTCTTGTTTTGTTGGTGGTCCTTTCCGGCCATCTGATCTTGAGTATAGAGCGAAGACAGTTGTTGTTGATAAAGGTCTGCAACAGGCTGTTGGAAATATTCGTTGTGACCCGCCGCCAAGTTTCTGATCCATCCGTATAGAAGAACTGACTGACTTGACGTTTGTATTGAAAATCCGAATCATTTTGTTGTTGATGCAGGCTGAGTGACGAAGATTTCCAGATTGGTTTCAGGTTGATGAATGTGTTTTCTCGCC